ACAGAGCGACGCGTCCCAGAGCGACACCCCATAAGCACCACTGCTCTCACTAATACATCGAGCTTCAGGGGCAGACATAAGAAAATACGTTGAGTGTAGTTTGGTTTTGTTTCTTATCTCCCTTAGTTATTCACATTAGTTCATTTTTAAACTGATTGACCATCAGGCAACTGTGTTGTTGTTTCCGGTCACAGGTCACGGAAGCCCCAAAAGTCAGAGCTTTGCAACACAGATGGGTTGAATTTATGAAAAGTGTGAAAGTTCTGTCACAAAATGATGTAGATATGTATCTTCTTGCTATTTTAAGTGAGTATATGAAAATCTTTGACCTTTCCTAGTGGGTATACAGCGTATACCTGCGTATCGCGTAGACTACATCACTGCATCTAGCCAGTGTAACACAGGTATTCATATGGAGACGTGTCTCTGTATATATATATATATATATATATATATATATATATATATATATTTAGCCTTTAGTTTTGGTCTCCATCAACTCCTGAGGAAAATATCTGGCTCCCTAGCTGCTAGATGTTACACTATCTTCACCAAGTTAGTTGCTAACTTAACTTGCAAGTGTGTCTACTGTTTGGCCACCTGCTGAAGGTGGAAATGACGTTGTGACAACTGACCATAGAGTAGATCTGTCATAAAACCAAAACGGTGAGCTAAAAGAAGCTGAAGCTCAGCAGAGCAGCAGAGTAGGTTATGATTCTGTGAAGTTCTAATACAAGTGAGGCCTTTCATAGTAGTTATACTTTATATAAAATAAATAAATATTGATTTGTGTACTTTTAAGAAATTTGAAATTGTAATCTCTTTTTCAAATTGGCTCTGGCCAATGTACAATGTCTCTCTAGATCACAGTGCTAAAATGTGTCACCTCTTCATGTTTCCTGTTCAAAATTTAACTTATACCTAATACCTAATATCACATTTAATTTGTACCCAATGTTTTGGCTGAGAGGAAGACATCAGAGACACAAAATGTGTTTTGAAAAGTTTCATTTTCAGGACTTAATAGCAGCCTGTTGTGACTTGCGCACTTCCCCAATTCTTTCCTCTCACAACCTCCCCATGGCCCCCCGCTTGCCCTCAGGCTGTTCGACTCCCATGTGATTTCTAGCTCTGTGACTGACAGCTACCCATTTCACCTTGATTTTAATTACACTCCAACCCCTCAATTTACCTGCCCGAAACTACTTCAAAGAAAGCTTACACACACACACAAACACAAAAGCTCCTGAACATTGCACTTCCTTTTCTCCATGACCAGCTGACAGTGTGAATTGAAAGCACAGAGCCTAATCCTACCGCTTGAAGGCTTTTTTAGCTCTGTGTGTCACTCAATAGTCTTTTTATAACCATGCATTTGTGTTTGGGTATGCAGCCTCTGTGATTTTAAACTTTGCTCCAAGGCTCTTTGTGTTTAATGTGTGGTCGTGTACTCTCATAAACCTTTTGCATCTGAGCTTGTGCGTGAATACATGTGTATGTATGGGCGGGCCCATCTACACTACTCCATATCTCCGTCCACACCAGCGTTTTAGGTGCGTATCAGAGTTGATCTCTGTCTATACTAAAACAACTGAAAAAGCACATCTAGTGGCCGTTCATGTACACTGGGCATGCCGGTGTAAACATGAAGCAGATGGTCTATTCCGTAGTTACAGAACATTTGGCGAAAACATAAAGTACTACAGACGAAGAACCACACCAGATTTTATTTTGAATGGACTACTAACGAGCTGGGACTGTTACTGAATGTAACACGGAAGTTAAAAGTGGCTGTGGCGGCGGAAAGCAGTCTGGGAGTCGTCACAAAGTAAATATGGTGACATACACAGTACAAGTGTAGGCTATAAGTGTTATTTGCACAGTACAAAATATTTTAATAAAAATGCCCTGTTAAAAGTAGCTACAGTAGCATCCTGTTTCTAATTTGCGTGACTTATGAGACCCAATCAGAGAGCTGAGCGTCTGCGTCATTGTTTCTTAAGTCCTCCGTTTTTGCCCATTTTCACTAAAGTTTCAAAACGAAATACAGGGTTGGCAGCATTTTCAAACTTCCCTAGTTTTAGTTCTTCGTTTTCGCTGTTTTAGTCTGGACGGGAGGTGCATATGTAGTAAAAGTTCTCCATTTTAAAATGAAAACGCAGTAGTGTGTGTGGCCTGTGTGTGTGGCCTGTGTGTGTGTGTGTGTGAGCCTTTTAAAGTGCTAACACCTGTTGTGAGCCATTGTTAGAGCAGTGATTCTTCCGATGAGTAGCAATGCAGAAAAGCTCCTGGTCTTTGTACAGTGCAAAAATAAAAAACAAGGGTCACAACCATGTCACACTCCTCCTCGTGCATGTTGTGAGTCCATGTTTGTGCCAAGGTTTGACCTTAATAATGCTGCACACTCATTCGGAACTAGTTCATGCATTTGAAGTGCGAGAAAGGCTTAAATTCTTGAGAAAGTTTACATGCACCTTAGAAACCAGGTTTCTGGGGGAAAATTCATTTATACAAAATATGGTGGCAATGTGGTAACTGCTGGTCACTGTAAAATGTGTGTATACATGCAGCAAATCAGTAATTTGAATTTTCCCCTACCCTTGAACTTATTTTGGAGCCATAGCTAATATATTTTAAGTATTGTAAGTGTGAGTGGTCAGTATTTTCCCTTAACGTATCGAAACATAAGCCATGTTTCCATCAACGTTTTTTAATGCGCATTTATATTAGAAAAAGGTTGATGGAAACTGCAAAATTCGGGGGAAAAATCCTTAATTTCGCAAAAAACGTTTTTTACGTTAGCTTGAGGTGGTTTTTGCCTTTGTCCAAAAAGAGTAAATGCGCTAAATAGGAGATGGAAACACTTTTCCTGAATAAGTTCTGACGTAGCGAACTTGTAACTCACGTCTGATCAGCTGTTTCTGCTGTCGGCGTCTTGCCCGTTTGTGCAGAGCTCTGCATACCTGCGAGAATTTCCTGCACCTGGCAGCTGGTAACGCTCATTTATGTTGAGAAAAAAGGTGGATGCAAATCCCGGCAGGTAGTCTTCATCACCTGTTCTGTCGAATTATGCATTCACCTCTTAAAGGTCCTTTTTAGATACTTTACTTTGCACGCTGATCAAACGGGGTTATCACCGCGAATTTTTGCTGAATCTCAATGAATGCTACTTCTACTGAGTGTAACAAAATATTAACGACTCTAAACGTTCATAAAATAAATAGAATCATTTATCACGAACCCCACCAAGGATATTAGCGCTTAAAAGCAGTATTTGGAGGTGCATGTAATACTCGGCAGGCATGCAAAACTCTGCATGACATCGGATATTCCCATAACGTGGGGAGCCATGGCTGGTAGCAACATACCGCTTGAAACACATTTCTGAGGACCTCTCTCCATTTTTCTCTGATCAGTGGCCATCAGGTTCATGCGACTGGTTTTGTGTCTGGTTTGGAACCCATACGTCTTGTTTATTACAGCCATATGTAACGTCAACGTAACGACGCTTGCCGTAGCCTGGTTTATTGGCTCTAAACCAGCTGATGGAAACACATTCTAACCTCAATGCGTCACAACTGACGCTTTCAGACAGCGTGACAAAGCGTAAGGATTTTACGCTAAAGGTACCCTTAAGCATCCATATGAAACGCCCCCACTTTCAGTTTCACTCTGCCTGTGGATTTAATTATTTTGAATATACAGTAAGAATGCATAACTATATATAGTATTATTGTCTTTACACTTGTTAAAGCACTTTGTAACTTGTTTTTGAAAAATGCTCTACAAATAAAGATTATTATTATATTATTATAGTAATGAGTATTTGTTTAATGCTGCTGCACTGTTGTCACAGCAATACTTTTCTTTCATGCCCGTGTGTTAATGCAAAAAGCCAGAAACCTGGTAATAAATGTGCATAGCTAAGAAATCTGGTTTCTCCATGAGCAGTGGAAATCAGATTTCTTGTTTATGTGAAACTGAAAAAAATCAGATTACTGCAGAAAGCTGACCCGGTTACTTAAACTGCACATGGGAGAAGTTTGTCCTCAGGGCTTTCTGCCAGCCGTACTACTTGGTTAGTTATAGGCACCAAAACTAATTGGTTAGGGTTAGGAAAAAAGGAAGGCAGAAAGCCTATCTCCCAAAAAGTTTTGAAAGCAAACTTATCCTACGTGTACTTAAACATACTGATTGTCTCTCCTCTGTCATCTTTTTCACCACACTGGTCTAACAGTTTTTGGGTTTGTGTGAAACGAGAGTGAGACGTAGAGGGAGAGGTGTCTTAATTTAGCCGAGCTGTCGCACATGTTTCAGATCCCTGTGGGGGAAAAACTGCTCTGAAGTTACACTTGTTAAACAGAGCCTCTGCAGTTTACAGACAAGCCGAACAATGCTGCAAATCGAGGTAGATTCATGAGGTCTCAGGTTCTCAAAAGTAACTTCTTCTTTTTTTAGGAATAATGTTGTGTGCAACTTTTCAACAACCTATGTGGATCTTTTTTTATCTCACCAGAAATAGAAACTCACTTCCCTTGATGGGAGAGCGTAAAGAGAAAGAGTTTGGTGACTAATTATGAAGGAAGCTATTCAGATTATTCAGATGCTTGCTCTGCCCCCCTCCTTTCCTCCCCCCAGGCAGTGAAGGGTCTTTTCTGTCCCTAGAGAGTGATGTCAGCATGGCCCATTGAAAACAGCCGCCGTGCGCTTCGAGATGAATGCCCTGGCTGAGCACAATGGCCCCAATTTGAATACCACGCGGATATATGCCAGATCGGAGCCCCAACAAAAGAAAGAGGGCTACTCTGCTCCCATTCAACCATGTTGTTATTTTATTAGTCGTAAATTTGCTTCAAGCGTTTATACCTTTTGTAGTTTTCAAGTGTTTATGGAGTTTGAAACACGTGGGCCACCTGACGGGGTTGCCTGTATTTTGGAATGGATTTTATTTTTGTCGGCTCATAACTGAACGCCGTTGTTGTGTTTGTGTCTGACCGCAGATCTACACAGACTGGGCCAACCACTACCTTTCCAAGTCAGGGCACAAGCGTCTGATCAAGGACCTGCAAACAGACGTCACAGACGGAGTGCTGCTGGCTGAGATCATACAGGTCGTAGGTAAGGAAAACGCACTTTTGATTCCAAAAATCTGCAAAATGAAGTATGATAGAAGTATGAAGTATGATAATGTGTACATTATTACTGAAGGGTACTGACTAACAGAACTATGTCCTTTAAACAAACTGCTGACAGGAGACAGGAGAGAAATGCAGTGTACTACTATATAAGAACACAAAATAATGAAATAAAATATCAGCCTGTGAAAACCAACCTGTAAGTTGTCTTCTACACTACATATTAATTACAGTCCCCTTCTCTTATTGGTTTAGACCAACAATAAAAAGGTATATCTACATATAGATAGTGTCTCATGACTGTTATTTGAATAGGAACGTTTGTAATCCTTCAACCATAAGTTAAACAGACAGTGGTTCACGTGACAACAGAAGTATGAACCTAATGCAGGCAGGCTGTGAAAGTGGGCTGTTCCTCTGTGTTTTTGACCCCTTCACACCCATCTGTGTCATCATCAGTCTTGTCATTTCACCTGGCCATCCTCAGCCTGTCATTTAATCTGCCCTCAGCCTTGAGGTTGAAGCAGGCTGAGAGCAGCTGACCGGTGACTCAGCATGTCCCTGCATCCCTGTGCTCCCGGCTCTCTCCCTCTCGTCTCTGACACAGATTTATGCTTCCTATGATCTGCTCAGTGTCATCCTGTTCAGAGAAGAGTCTCACTGTTCTCACACTGTTGCTGTTGCATGTGATTCCTTTTTGAGAGTTAGATCAGGCTTGTTTGCGTCATAAGGAATTTTATACACTATATGTGAAATGTGCTGAAGGGCCTCCTCCTCTTGTACGGTAACATTCCTCAATGGGTCCAGCTTCCTGCCATCATATGTTGGCTGCTTGTCATCAGGTAATTGCTTCAACAAAAAAGTACTTTGCATGTTGCAGTGTAGCAATGATCTGCTGATTGTTTTCTGTTTATTTATGTGCTTGAATATGGAACTATATTGAAGCAGTCTGTCTTGGTGGCTTCAGAAAGTCAAAGAAAAGTTCTTCCCAGCAAGTAAAACTGTAATTTTTATCATAAAACATGCCGGTAAAACCCCTTGGAGTTCCCTTAAAAGGTATCTGTATTCCTGAAAAGATTCCTGTGGGCAAAACGTGCCACATCGTCATCAACCTCATCCAGTACATTCGGACAGCTGACCACTGCTGGTCTTCTCTCATATTAAAACAACAACAACCAGAGTAATTCACAAGTTCTGCCCTTACCTTTCTGCCTGCTGCCTCCTGTCAATTGGGAAAACCTCACACCACACAATCGCTGGTGAAAACTGAGCAGCCCGTTGATGTCAGAACAGCCATAGTGGGACCGGATGTCGCACCTGTTCAGCTATTTGACCAACTCACACTCGAGGTCAGCATTTTGGAAGAGGCAAACCTTCAGATCAAGGTCATCTGTAAAGTTCTTATGAAACTGCCCTTGAGGCAAACATGAATGTAATCTGTGCAACAAATTTCAGCAAGGTCCGTGGCTCGTGCAGACTACACGACTTTCATTGTTGGCCGATCACTGTGCTGCTCAGACTACACAACTTGCCATCTTGTGACAGGAGTCTTGAAGTCGTCGTGGTGTTCACATAACGTGACTGATTGGTGACAGGGGGTCACACACTATACAAGCTGACAACAACTTTGTTACCCGCTGGCTGGTCTCCAAAACACGTTTTGTCAAGAAAACGTGTTTTAAAAGGCCACTCGAAAATGTGCAGTTTCATTGTATTGGGGAGCACTAACTAAAACTAACACAGATTTTGACAGATTTGTGAGCAATATTTGAGAGAAAGAGGCCTTTTTTTGTACATAGAGAAAGGCTTAGATCTTTGAGTTCAGCTCATGATGAATGGGGGCAAAAACAAAAGTATAATTTTGTTCAGTGTATATATGTATATAGAAACGTACAGCAACATATATTTTAAGCAGTTAAAGTTTTTTTTCTTCTATCTTTTAACTGAATAGTTTTACTTTTACTACTCACACCTTATAACCACTATTACGAAAATCAATAAAAAATATTTCAGTGGAAGGAAAACCTTTTTTTGGGTAGAACTACTTAAAATACGTGGACATATGCAGTGTGAACATATGCAGCTTTGTTTTAAGGGGTCACAATCCAAAAGATTTGGGAACCACCGTTATAAAGTCTGGTTGTGAGTGTCTATTGAGACCATCGTCTACAGTTAGGTCTGTTTTAGAAGACAGTTGACAAGAACACATTAAAAGACTACATATTCATTCACTGGGCAGATAGAGGAGTATTCTCTCGCAGGGTAGGTGATGCAATATGTGGTCCTGAGGTGGAGCTGCACTGTGGGCCCAACCGTGCCTCCTGACGCAGGAGGCCGTGCTGTTGGCACAGTTGTCAGCTGTGAGCTGACGGCCGTGTCTCAGCTGCTGTGGGCTGGGCCTCTAATAGATGGGAGGAATCCTTGACACCATACACACACACCCCCTTTGAAAAGAAGCAGCACAACATGCATCTCGGTCGGGCCCCCAGCGGCCCCGTTCCCATTTGCTGTGACCAGATAGTGTTTCATGTCTCGGTGGGAGGGGAGTGGAGGGGGGGGGGGTCACAGTCACCGGCATGAACACCTCTGCTCTCCTCACTCAGCCAGCTACTGTCTGGGAAACACACACTCAGGGATCGCCACTGGAAATAAAACAGAGGATTACATTAACTAAACACGCCTGAAAAGAGATTTGATTCGCTGCTCTTGTCTCTCTCTGTCTCTGCCTCCTCTTTCGGTCTGTCCTCAGCCAATGAGAAGATTGACGATATCAATGGCTGTCCCAAGAGCCGTTCTCAGATGGTAAGTGTTTGTTTTGACAGAACATGGTGATATTTACGTGTGTGTGTGTGTGTGTGTGTGTGTGAAGAAACAAACCTCTTTCATGTCCCATCTTACTAACTCATGTTGCCCCCACTGGGAGCTGTGGTTCAAAAGTCACTGGTGAATAGTTGTAGATGGTAATGGTTAGTCCATTTATTTTTACTTTTGTGGTCTTGCGGGCTGCCATCTGTGAAACCTCTGGCTCAGACTTCTAGCAGTTGGCTCTCAGTTGAAAACATCACAGGCTTCGGTTTTGGAGACAGTTTTGCCTCATCTTATTACAGTTGCAAAGGAGGCAGCATTCCTCTCATCTCCAGGAGTAAAAGCAGGCAGGGAGCATCAGCGCTGATGACAAAGAAAATGTTTTAGCCAATTATGATGTGATTTTGTCTACAGTGACATTTAGCAGAGATGTTAGTTCCTTTGTAACGCTGCTGGTGGGATTTCAGTGTTTTCATAGTTTTGTGTTCTCTGTGGGAAATGAGCCGACAATGCCCTGGGCAGGGCTGCCCTCCGCTGAATGTGAAGGGTCTCAAATTGGGCCGTGTGTGCCAGCTGAAGGGGGCTATTTTTGGCCACCAGCCAGACTACTGAAGCCTCTCAAAGCGGGGGGGGGGGGGGGGGGGGGTACACACCCATAGTTAACAACTGAGGAGGAAGTGGAAGCACAGCTGATGCCTGAACCTTTCTTTTTCATTACCCACATGGATCCTTATTACTATACTTCATCCTGTTGTTCCTTGCACCTTTAAAGCTAGAGTAGGTAACGCTGGTGAAACTAGCAAGAGACTGCTAGATTTATAAAGTATCCAACCCAAAAAAAATACCCACCCCCTCTCTTCAGGCCTACCTCTAAAGCCACTCCCCCAAACAAATTTTCATGCACAATGAGTGCTTGGGCAGAGAGTGCACAGGTCGGCAGGCAGGTAGGTAAGTGGCTGAGCCAATCACAAGCCTGCTACAGTCACAGATACCCAACCCAGCATTTTTCTTTTAAAGACAAGGATGCTTCTGAGACAAATCAAGTGGTTCCAAAAATATGTCTGTTAGTGCGCTACATGTTCATAGATGGGGTGTCTGCCAGTCAAAAGGAAAACAAAAAATATTTTTAAGTGTGCATTTAAGCAATGTGATGTTTTTTATTGGATAATGGCTGTCAAAATCTGCTTTTATTTTGCATGGATAAGCTCAGATCTTGCAGTTTGTGTGTGTATGAGTATTTTTGGATCGCTGCTTATAATCTCAGTAGGTTTGTCAGCTTTAAAGCAAAACCTGAGGCACTCAAGCAGTGCTAAGGGCAGGTGCAACCGTAGTCATTATGCAAATGTGTGCTTTGTGTGTTGTAATACTGTCAAAACAAACACACTCAGGTCTTGAGAGTTTAGTTAGTAGCTGGGGTGGAGGAGTTTGAGAGCCCACTTTTACTGCACTTTATTTCATTGCTTTCAAACCCCCAAAGCTGCTGCCAATTACCACCACTTAACTTAACCTCCGTCTAAATGAATAAACATGGAAATAAGCTCCATCAGTGGAACAAACCTCTCTCTCATCTCACACTCAAGCTAGCTGATTAGCATGCAGGCTATCCAGGCCGAAGTGAGAGGCCGTTTTTACAACTGTCACATCCTCGTTAAACGAACCCCCATAGTCGGGTCATTGCTTTGCCACCCAGTCAGGCTTTGTGTGTGTGCATGTGTTTGTTTGTGTCTGTCTGTGCGGGTTCATCCCAGAGTGAGGGTGTTGATTTGACACAGAGCTGTTAAAACCACACAGGATGCCACGCAAACACAGAGACACACACACAAACATATACAGGCTGTCTCGTCAAAGCATTAAAATCTGGTAATGGATTAATTTACTTTTTACTTCAGATACTGTGGAGTGGTGCAACAAAGTTGTGCAGAATTTAAAGGTAGTTCAATTAAAAACAGTTGGCAGCATTTTCTGCATATTATCCAGAGCACCGGGACACTGTTTCCTGAAAGAGATGTTGCTGTTGATTTTTTAAAAATGGCATTTCAACAGTGCTGTAATTACGACAAATTAAATTAATTTCACCTCGATTGTAAGGGGGTTGAAGTGACAGAAATCTCAAAACATAGACAAATAAAACCAAAATGTTTTGCATGGCAAGATCCACATGGTCTAAGTGAGAAAAGATGTGTATGTTTTTTTGTATGTTGGAGGAACTGAGCCTTTTATTATTATTTTCTCGTGGCCCTCAGCAGATGAGATTTTGGACACTTTATACATATATTTACATCAGAAATGTATGAATACTCCATTATTTATATATTTACAAATTTAATCATGTGGTCTTTTAGACTTTGCTTCTCTACTGGATATTGAGAAAGAAAGAAAGAGTGAAAGAGACTTTGTTTGTATTAGTGAAAGGGTTTCTGTCTTGGTAATGTAATTTAGGTGCTTGGACAGACTCTTAGGTTTAATTGTATTCTTAATACACTTTATGCTGTACTGGTTTGTCCTCTCCTGTCTGCCTATTTTCTACCACTGCAAAAGAGAGAGGGAGAGGTAAGTAGGTAGACTGACAGACAGCCACACAGGTAGAAACCAGCAGGACCAGGTGTTTAATGGGCCTAAGGAAAAACAGACTGAAAGAAACATCAACAACCATTGAGGAATTTTAAATGAGGAAACAGCTCTTCCACTTCATGTCAGGCTCCTTGCTGATACTCTGTGATCGTGTATTAAACTGGCCTGAAAATAGAGCTTTCTTTATTATTCTGTGTTTCACCTTCAAGTGCATCGTCACACGGCCACGCGGTTTTTACCTCAACGGAACACACCTGGTACTTAACTTGAGTGCACACAGTCACATTTGTCTGTCAGACTGGTGGGTAGATAGATGGTTGCTTTTTTTGAAGCAAGTGAATTTTAGTATTTTTGTAGATGGTGAAGCTTTACGCAGGTAAGCAGGAAAAGATCCAAGATATGTTTTATTAATGATTCATCAGGCTGGTAAATGTTTGATCAAAGGGAGCGGTAACTTCTGTTTGTGTGCGTGTGAGAGAAAGTGAAATCCGCAACTTTGTCAGCTGGTCAGGATTCAGGTCATCACATGGTGGACAAAAAAACTACAGAGAGCTCACAGTTACAGTTTCTAAGCAACCAAATATAACAAAGCCCAAATCTTTATTTCAGAGAACGTTAATGGCCCTGAAGACTGGTTGTCTAAGCTGCCAGGGTGCACACAGACATACTGTGCTCATTTGTTGCACAAGTAATCTGTTGCAGTAACAGTTAGTCTATTCATAGAAGATATGACACAACAGTTAATAATTCCAGAAACCTTGGAAAAATGTGGCCTCTTTTAAATAAAAACAAATTCACAAAAGTCTTCTGAACAAGCAAAGATAACCCAAAGGTGTTTTCATACAACAAATTAAAGAAGCTTTTCCGTAATTATTCTGTGCAAAGTTCAGCAGGGAGATGCTGATGTAGCCAGAGGAAACGCTTGATTTTATTTGTGAAAGCAGACGGTGTCAGCCTGAGGATGACTACGAACATCAAAAATAAAAATAAAGAATAATAAATCTCATAAGAATCATATTTAAATATGATACATTCAAAAGAGCAAATGCATGCTGTGAATATAATATGATTACATACATGGATACAAAGAAACAGCAGCAAGTCTATAAAAATGCAGAAGAAAAAAACTGAATATGCAGGCTGAAATTGATGTGTGTGATTTTGCATCCTGGTGTGCGTCATAGCTTCTGATGCATTTTATTTTTTTATAAATAAGCAATGAAAAGCAGCACTTCTCTGAGATGTTGAAACCTCTGCATACATTTCCCAGTCAAGAGAGAGAAGATTGTTGAGTTAGATGTCAAAGTTCAGCAGGTGAGCTGGTAGCTGGAATGTGTGAAACCTCCTGAGAGAGTGTAAGTATGTGTGGGCAGATACTAACAGATTTCACTAAACACACACGGACATAACACGTTATTCCACAACCATGTTGGGTGATCAGACTCCACAAGACCCAACAGCTCAATGAAACGAGAACTTTCAGCAACGAAGCTGGTGTTGTGATGCTAGAGTCATAATCATATCAGGCCAAGTCTCGTTTTTTCTGAAATATCAGCCAATTATGTTGTGTAGTGATAGTAGGAAGGAGGTTTCTCCTAATAAGACCAGAATAGAATTGGAACACCTGCACTGTTGGGCTTTTTGGATACTTAATTGATTTATTAATTTGGTCAGTAATGTTTACATTTTTTTTTACGTTTTTTTTTTATTAACTCACAGTTTAAAGAATAATCCTGGTTAATTACAATACAACTCAGCACCTATTTTTTTCACCTAGATTTGTTAGTTAATAATAACATGGTACCCACCAAGTTAATTGCTGAGATCAAGGAAAAGGGACATTGCTAAAATTAGGTTAGCCAAACTTATTTGGGAGACAAAACAGGCAAACCGTAAAATTATTACCCAAACTGTCTGTTGTGTAAACATGCGTCACTGTATAGGGACCCACTTCTGGTTCCATGTCTGACCACTTGTGTTTCTTCTTGTAGCTCGATTTCACAGATTGTCTCTCAGTGGGCCTCACAGGCCAATAGAAACACCAGTCTAGTTTAAGTTTTAAGTAATTTGCCTCCCTTGATGCTCTTGCTGTCTACAAGACTTTTTCATTCCGACAAGGACAAGGTTCTGTGCAACAGACTCATTACTTCTAAGGTTTTGACATGAAAACCGTCAAATTTAAGTACTGAAAATCATTGCTTAGGATTGGCTGTCAGCAACTTTGGTTTAAAAATACCTGCCTCAGTATCAGTCTTCAAAAGCTCCTATGAGTCAAATCCTGCTTCAGACACGCAACACTCTTGCTCACACACACTCCCTCTGTCCCTCTATTTAGCGCAATCTCTCTCTCTCTCTCTCTCTCTCTCTCTCTCTCTCTCTCTCTCTCTCTCTCTCTCTCTCTCTCTCTCTCTCTCTGTCCCTCTATTTAGCGCAATCTCTCTCTCTCTCTCTCTCTCTCTCTCTCTCTCTCTCTCTCTTGCTCTCAATTCAAGAGGTTTTATTTGTATGACTCTGCAGGGCATAGAGAACTATAGGGTCTATGGAAGGGAGGTAATAGTATATTTATAAAATATAAAAATACAACAAATGAATTACTAATTAATAATCATAAAACACAAACCATGTGGGACAGGGGGCTCACAGAGCTGTGGAGCTATCGCTCGCTCTGTCTGTCTCTCACACACACACAACAATAGCTTCCCTGTGATGGGAATACGTGTGTTTGTTCAGAGGGCTGTTGGCTGGCCAGCCCCATGCTGCTGCCCGGAGCCGGAGCAGAGCAGGAGGTGACGGTGGCCTGGATGGAGGTGTAAGGTCGGGCAGAGCAGTCACACTGCAGGAACAGATCACAAATCCAGGCAGGTAGGAACTACTGGTGGTGTCACGGTGTTGCATTTGAGAGATTGTTATCTGGGCTTGTTTAGAGGTATTTTATTCCCTTCTCTGGATTTAGTTGTCTTACTCTTTTTGACTGTTTGTATGTCTGCTTACTTGGTGTATATTTTTGAGCATTGTGTAATCTTTCTAATTTTACTTTTACGTGAGTTAGTTTTCAATCATCCATCAGCCACTTGTCCTAACGTGCACTAAAGTGTTTGGAGAACTGAAACGTAATGAGCCAAAGAATGAGGCTAGAAAGTGGATATTAAAACAGCTCAAAATGACACTTACAGTCTTGCAGAAAACAGCTTACATTGTATTTCTGGTTTAATTTTGTTGTTTGGTAGTCCAACTTTCATATTCCTGTTAATAACGGATTAAACTTGATTTCAAGTAAATTTATTTTCAATAAGCCTGCAATGAATGGATGAATTAAGAGTAATGTGTTAAAACTTAATAATTCATTTAGACGCAACTTTAGCCAATCAGATGAACCGAATCTTATTTTATTTCCGCAGCAGCTCAACAATCCAAAGGTATTCTATTTAAAGTAATATCTTTGCATTTCAGAAGTTGTAAATGACAAATTATTATTATAGTTTTTAAGTGATAAAGACTTTGTAAACCATAAATCCTTGTCAAAATAATCTATTTATTTTTGGATTACAAAGATAAAAATATAATTGGTGTGGTTGGCATTTTTGCCTTTAGTTTTGATAGCTGACAGTAGTGTAGTGACAGGAAATGAGGAAAGAGAGAGAGGAGGGCAGACATATAATAAAGGTCCCCAGCTGAATTTCAAACTGGGGGTGTTATAGTTATATGCACAGCAACACCGCAGCTTTTTGCAGTAACCTATGGAATGTACTGAACATTACAGACTGCTCAGTGGTAAAGAATACACAAGGGAGGATTTCCTAAGTGATATTACCATATATCAAGTGATTGGTATATTATTTAGAAACAGACTGGGTAAGATGTACAATAAGTGGTTGACGATGGATGTATGGATGGATGGGTAAGATGTCAGGCTCTGTAGCTGATGGAGGATTGTTGAGTTGAATAGTGTTCCTGTTTTTTCTGAGCTCCGGTTTTAAATAGCAAGAGGTTTCAGTATGTATACCCTCCGAAAGGTGAACTATCTCAGCAGGACAGGCATGGCATTTGTGATGAGGTATCTTAATGAAGCATATTTTCTGCAGGCTGCTGCTATTTAAACTTCAGCTATACCGGGGAATTTGGGACAGGGGAGTGGTTCAGTCACTCAGATGAAGTGTAGGCCATGGGTATTAAACAAAAGTCTCTAGGTATGTCGGTGGGGTTAGAGGGGTATTTAAGACAGGTTTATATTTAAGGAGCCTGTGGTATTCAGAGTAGGCCATAGCCTGCATTCCTACTATTCCTAATTTTTCTGCTGTATCACCTCAAAGGACAGCACATGTCGGCCCATCTAACAGCTGTTTCTAAGGTCAGAGGTGACGGAAATTACATCAGGGGCAGCACTGTTGTTTCAACTCAAATCAATGACCTGAAGTCTGCCAGCCTCTCCTCACACTAACATGGCTCAGATAGATATGGCTCTCACACTAGAAGTGGATTAACTAGTAGTGATCAAGTAGTAGATTGAATAATAAGATAGTGGTAAAACAGTGAAGGATGTCACTTCCCATAGATGATGCAGAAAGTAGTAATCAAGTATGCATATAAATATAGTTAGTTATAGTCCGGTTGTGGACGGGGGTTGCGTATTAATAAAACCAGCAGTAATATAGTTATTAGTGACCAGGTGGTAAATCTAGTAATCTAGTTAGGATATGGTAACTAATAACTATTAATTTTGTGGTAGTGAATGGAAGTAATAGCGGTTGAGTAGTAAATGTAATAGTAATATGGTAGTGGGTTTAACTGATGAAAATATGATGTTGTATGTAACCAGTAGTAACTGCTAGGGTGTGTAACTAATAGTAATATGGATGTGGACGTAGGGGATGTAACAAAAAGTAATGCAGTAGTGGGTTAACTGATAGTATTATGGTAGCTGAAGTAACTAATGGTAATATGGTACTGAGTGTAACTACAGTAATAGTAATGTGGTAGTAACTGCAATTTATTATGGTAGTGAAACTAATAATTATACTAGTAATAAAGTAGTTGATTTAACTGATAAAAAATATGGTAGTGGACATAACTAATGGTAATATGCCAGGGAATATTACTGACTAACTGACTAACAACAGTAGGATGGTAGTGAATGTAAATAAAAGTAATGTTGTGAATGTGACAAATAATAATATGGCACAAGATGTTACTAATAGTAACACAGCTGTGGATGCAAATAGTAGTAATGTGGCAAGTGTAACTAATAGTAATGTACAATAATAATACATCAACTATAGTAAGTCTAGTGGAAGTTATATAAATGTAGTAGTAGTAATAGTAGTGGTAACTAATAGAGGTATGGTTTTAGATGGGTAGCACTACATCAGTAGTAACAGTGGGTTTAATCATCAGTTACTTGTGGTTTAGTGGATTTAGATTCATAGGTTTAGTTGGACACGAGTGGATATATCTGCAGTGAGTAGACGTTAAGATATCTCAGTAGAGGCAGATGTAAATGAGCTTTTACTTCAGCTTCTCACCTCACAGCCGGATACTTCCTAACAGGAGAACCACAGAGGGAGCTGTAGGTCAAGCTATATTTAGTCAGTGCATATTAAGTGTAATCATGTCATTAATCTTTAGTGAGCACGACCCTCCCGGTTACAGCCCACACCCTGCTTCATTTACAAAGGACATGGTTCATATGTATTTTAGTTTCGAAACCACTTGGAGTATCACTGCTCTATATCTGTACTCACTTGGCTGTAAGAATATATTTGAGCTGTTGTATTTTCACAATGGGTTTACTGTAAGTACATTGTGGCAGATTTGTCTCAGTGTGCGATAGATCTTCTCTCACTTGTACTAATGTCATGCTAAAAATGCTAAAATCCATGCTTTTAAATGTCAATTAATCGCACTGTCTAGAACATCACCTTTATTGTCTACCTCTAGATGTAAAATGAGAGAGCAATGACTGTGCCAAATTGATATCTTTTATGTTGTACCTGTGTTTGCTCATCCGAAAACCACTGTTGGTAAACTTTGATCGCCCATTCTGCTATGGCTCTGCTTGATGACTTGTTTTATGTGGTTTTCTTTGTGATTACGTGGGCCAGCCATCAGCCTCGGTGTGTATATAATGGGTCACATGGGCTCTAAACAAAGCCTGTCTGCCTATCAAATCCTCTCGCAGTCCAGTGACAGCTCAGCAGTCTGCTCATGTTGCCAAGGCTGCTGTCATAGCAACTTAGTCAGTATAGATGGTTTGCTTCTCTGTTGCTCTGCTGACAAAAGTCTGCTTGGTTTGAAACCTGTTTTGACTATGTCACCATGTGGCCAATATTCATTTTGTGCTTTGCACATATGAACAGTCAGTCACCAGATATATGGGTGACTTTCTTACCACTTTCCAATGCTGGTATGAATAACTATACTTTTCATGTCCACCAGAGAGGTTACGGTTTTGGGACCATTTGTTTGTCTTAAAATTTAATATCTCGAAAACTAGTTTGCAAAACATTTTGCAAAAATCTTCCTTGTACCTAACCCTAAGCAAGATTCAAACATTCATACAAATTAAAGCTATTGTCAGTGATTCAGCATAATTGTCTGTTATGCTGACGATGCATTTTAATTTAGTATATGTAATATCCATTTGGACTAGCATTTTAAATTTTTTATATATATAAAATACATTTTGAGGATTGTATCAATCCAATGAACATAAACACATTTAGTGTTTATAATTCCCATTATAGCAGCCTATTTTTCACTGGTCCAACAGTATCAAATCAATATATATTGAAGGATATCTGATCTGTATTCCCAACATTTTCATCCTTGTCAGTGTTGATGTTCAGCACCTCTTTTCTGAAAATTGGAATGGTTTAGTCGATTTTGTGCTGCCAGCTTTCCTTTGTAGATAGATTTATAGGTTTCCCTTCCAATTGTTGCCATTACGCTCTCAGGAGAGGCGTGCAAAAGACAGACCATCATGCTTCCTCACATTATACAAATATGCAAATTCAAATGGAAATGTGCAGGGTGCAGTGTCTTACAGCTGTGCCTGTGTCTCTCTGTCTAGATTGAGAATATCGATGCCTGCCTCAGTTTCCTGGCAGCTAAAGGAGTCAACATCCAGGGTCTGTCTTCAGAGGGTAAGCTGGACTCCTGTACTTCTGCAAAGAGGTAGACCTAAGGCCAAGCCAGGCCAGACTTAACTGCTAAACACGTGTCCTTGCTATGGAAAAAGATCAAGAATGGCAACTTGATACTTTGAGGCATTTTTATTGGCATGCTCTTTTGCCAGGACACACTACATTAATGCCAGACAGTACACATTAAAACATGTAGGCTTGATAGGGCTTATTATACCCTATATAGAACGAATTTACCATAGTGCAGTGTTTAAATGTAGCCTACTTCAAAACAAGATTGATGTTGGCTTACATCATATTATTCACACAGGGAACCTAGGAACAATAATACTGGCACTAATACTACTAGTGTTATTTTACTTATTTGCTTTGTGCAGAACAGTGACAGCAATAAAGCTTACCCTATTCTGTAAAGAGTACACATAACAAGTATTTGTGACTTTCCTCTTGCAGTCCAAGAACATGCAAGTCAGATAGACTGGAGAGCTACAGCCAGCAGTATACAGCAAATTAGATTGTATTGGTTGTGTTTTCAGGCTGCTGTTGAATACAACTTTGCAAGAAAATACTTTTATACTCTCTGCAACTTAAAGTCTACTCACTTAATTGCGTCAATGCCAGATAAAGAAGCTAACAAGTCAGGTTACAGCTTGTATATTCTTAACGATAAGTACACAGGGCCCCTAAAACCTAGTATAAGTCTGTGGAATTAAAAGGAAGTTACTTTGTTACCATTAAATTCGTACCGTTTTCTTTTAGGTCACAAACTCGTCAGTTTTCCGTCAGTCGCATTCAAATTTGTTTGGAATCCGCTGCTGGCTTAACTTCCATAAGTATAAATGATACTTACTGCCTGTGATACTTAATACGAGTAAGCAGAATGAGGAATGAGTCACAGTATAACAACAATATATCAATAGACAATGACCGCCAATAACAACAGTAGTCATAATGCTATTCTGTAGCATCTGTTAGCTTTAGTTTCTTAGCACAGAACAGCCCTGCAGCTGTCATTTTGAATGGTTATAGTGGTAGAATTTCTCTACAACTTTCACCCTCACTTTTGCTTTCATCTATACATCTTTTTCCTTCCTCCCCTCATCTGCCTTTTCCTTTTAAATCCCACGTTGTCCTTCTTCCTGACCCACAGAGATTCGGAATGGTAATCTGAAAGCCATCCTCGGCCTCTTCTTCAGCTTGTCCCGCTACAAACAACAGCAGCAGCAGGCCCAGAAGCAGATCTCCCAGCCCTCTCTCCCACCCGCCGCCCAGTCCCAAAGCACACACCCTCCCCTGAGCCAGCAGAGCAGCGCCCCGGCCAAGCTCAGCCACTCTCCGCATGGGACTCCTGCCCTTACAGCCCAGAAAGCAGCACAGGCCGAGATGCAGTCCAGGTGAGGCTCACTGGCCCGTTTACGCAATGGAAATGTTAGGAACATAACCTTGAAACTGGGTGAATGGGTTTGTCTTTGTTTTCTTCACTTTCTTGCGTTTTCTGCTATTCTAATCCATCATTTTGCCATCTCGATCTTCCTGTTCACGCTTTCTGTCATTTATAAATGTAAACCTGACCTCTCTGTCCTCTTCCATATCTCTCTTCTTTTGTCTTCTCTAGGGATGGGTCTCAGAGTAAACTACTCAAGTTTTCCCTTGGTCAGAAAAAGACCTCTAGGTCAGCTTCTCCAGTCTTTCTGTTTTCTTGCTCCTCCCTCTCTTTCCTCCACCACACCTCCTGTCCCATCCCATTCCTGGAAATTATGATGGTAGAAATTGCCCCTAATCAAGGATAACGTTTCTTTTTTAATGACTTTCATGTTGTCCATGATTAAGGGCAATCTCTACTACAAGCACTATCTAATATGCATGAGTGGTAGTGTTGAGCAGATAGGAACTAGAGCTCCAGGCTCCATTTTCGGACGGCCCTGCTTGTCTGGCAGTGCGCCTCATTTGGCAAGTCTGCTAAATGGGCTGTGAAAGACCTTTAGATAACCCTTAAGTAACTGTGTGTGTGTGTATGTGTGTGTGTGTGTGTGGGGGGGGGTGCTTGTTAAGCACATCCCCCATATAATGTGACATTAATAATTAACACAACAAGAATATGTGGCTGGAGTGTGTCTATAATGTTTCGTTCAAATTTAACTTCTGTCTGTGTTCACTGTGATGCACTCAAGTCTCTTTTTTAGCATGCAGTGTTGTATTATGTGATGACGCACCTTGAAATTGGATTTAGGATGTGGTTTTGCATGCTGCCTATCCCAGATTCTGTTTACAATTGCACCTGCTCCTCTCCAAAGCAATGCAATGGCCCCACCTCATGGTCAGCATGTGTAGATGAATAGATTGATGCCACTGCTCATTTTTCAGACTGTGAATCAACAAAACAACACCATGGTCAAACACAGCCAATATGAAAGAATCAAAATGAAGAAAGCCATTTGCAAAACATTATTAATAATACCTAGAAGAAGAAGGTGGTTCAGAGTTGAGGATTTAGTGTGCTGTAAACCCTAGCCCTCTTCTTCATTTTCAGCAATGAGCATGATATTTACCGTGAAAAAAGTTTTTTCATTTAAATTTTTATCTGTATTTGACAGGAAACAAATTGAATATTCCTTCTATACCCAGCCAGTCCAAAAGGCAAAGGCAATATACTGACTAGTCCTGCCATAATTGAAAGCTAAATTATCTTAGTCTACCCTCGACGAAATAATGTGGTACAACATATTGCCTTGCAATGGCCAGATAAATACTGGCCAGTCAAAATGAATGGCATGTCGGAAATGAGAGTTTTTATAATGTATACAGGGGAGCCGAGACAGAGAGAGCTGTAATCTGCTTATCAGCATATGTCTCACAGTCCCGGGATGATGATGATGTCGGCACTGGTGAATTAGCATTTCATTAACAGTCTGTGAGCCACTGCCTGGTTAGATTACAGCTTGGCTCACAGACCTCACCAAAGGCAACAGGATCGACTTACAATAGGGAATCAACGTGTCAAAAATTTTACCAAGGCTTATCCATGGCCAGAATATCCTGACCTAATCCATGTGGTGAAATAAAAGAGCAGGATATGTAATCTGAGGCTGCTGAACTCCTCCTCTGGGACCTGCACTCTGTCAGCCTTTCCAATCCATTCAGAGATATGTCCATGCTGTTGTGAGCTCATCTGTCTCCATGAGATTACTGTAGGTGTGTTTAGGGGGGCAAGCAGAGTTGCAAGAAAAGCAAACAATAGTTTATTTATTTTTATTTAACCTTTATTTAACCAGGAAGTCCCTTGAGATTGGAATCTCTTTTTCGAGGGAGACCTGGCCAAGACAGCACACCAGCTACAATTTAAATAGAAATTCAGCATAGTCAAAACAAACAAACAAGCATCACACTTAAAGGAAAGGGACTAAGCCAGGTCACATGTGACAGTTACATTTCTCAGTTACATGGTATTTTAACATGGCTTTAAATGCATTTAATGGTGGGACTAGATCATTTAGATGTAGCAAGTTATTCCAAGACCAGGGAGTAAGTAAGTAAGAGAAGTCTTTTTTTCAAGAGTAAAAACTCTTGGAATCTGGTAAGAGAGCCACCTGGTGGAACAGAGATAAAAAACTGCTGGAATTCGGCTTCAGGAGATTACACAAATATGGTGGCAGTATATCCAGCATTGCCTTGTATAGAAAAATATGCAAATTAAGTTGTCCACATAGACTTAGTGATGGCCAGCCTGCCAGTTTATAAATCGTACAATGATGAGTACGGAAATCAGTTAAAAAGTGCAGAGCACTATCGTACACACAATCTAAAAGGTGGAGAGTACTAGAGCTACAACATCACCATAGTCCAAAACACTTAGCCTGCACAAGTTTTATTTCTGGCTGTTATGTTTAAACAAGCCCTATTTCTCAAGTAAAAACCCAACCTTAGTTTCAGCTTTTTCACAAGGTTTTCAACATGAACTTTGAAAGAAAGTTTGTCGTCGAGCCAAAAACCTAAAAACTTATGATGAAACATTTTAGTTGTATTATCTGGGGATTGGGACAGTGCCCTCGAAAACGTCATACATTTGGTTTTCTTCAGTGAAGGGGCAACTGAATATACCACTGTGCCATACGCATGAAGGTGCAGTTTAGCAGTTTGCATGTCATTTCTAATATTATTTATAAATATAGAAAATAAAATGGGGGATAAAATCGAACCTTGAGTGACACCCTTGCAAATCTCTAATCTATAGAAACACATTGTATTTGCTCTGTAAGATTGATTGTTGTTTTTCTTATTTCAATATTACTTAATCTATTTAGCAGTAGCTCATGATCAACAGAGTCATATGCTTTGGACAGATCAACAAATAAGGCAGTGCAATATTGCTTTTTTATCCAAGGCATTTATAATGTCATTTAATAGCAGCAAAGTTGCTGTAACAGTGCTGTGCCCAGCTCTAAAACCTGACTGTATATCAGTTATAATGTTGTGCTCTGACAAGTTATTTGATTGACAGTTTATTTGAGCTTGAGCAAGAATAGAGAGTATAGAGAGTTTGGAAATTGGCCAATAATTGTGAAGATCTGAAGGGTCTCCACCTTTTAGCAAGGGAAGCACATAGGCTGCTTTCCATAATTTGGGGATTAAATTTGTCTGCAGACTACAATTAAAAATGTATGCTATAGGCTTAGCCATAATTTCAGCTGCAACCTTTACTAAGAAAGGTTTTAGTTTGTCAGGTCCTATAGCGTTTAGAGTTTACAGGAAGGGAATTCCTCATTAGTAGTTGTCCCTGACTGAAATGGATTGTTATAGCAGATGTTACATTTCGGACGACACATTGTGCTATACAGTAACATGAGGAACACACTTGTGCTGCACTAAAATGCTTACTGTAATAAATCTGCAACTCTCCTCCCCTGGTGCTTGCAATCCTAATTAAGAGATACCCTCCTGTTTGTGATTAGAAGCTATAGACTGGATGTGTGCTTGTCCCCCGCAGACTGTGTTATAAACCTGCAGCAACCAAATGTTTTCCTTCAGTGTGTGAGGGGAGGGCTTTATATCTAATATTCAAAAGTTCTCTCGTAAACTCTTATCACCTTAAGTCACTTTCATAAACAAACTTAATGTTTGGCCTGTTTATGCCCTCTTCCTTCCTTCCTTCCTTCCTTTCTTTCTCTTCTTTGCTTCTCTCACTCCATCAGACTTCCCGGCCCCTCAGCGAGGGTGTCCACTGCCGGCGGTGACATCCCTCCAAGAGGCTCGGTCAGTGCTGCTGGGAACCGACGCAGCCAGGGCTTCAGTGACAAGACCAAAGCCAACTCGCACCTGAACAAAGGTAGGCCTCATGTATAACCACAAACACACACACACGCATATCTGCATTTTAACACAGCATTTACTATTTTAAGATGTCAAGGCCATCTCAGTGCTATGATGTTGGTATTTACATCTGTGTGTGTGTGTGTGTGTAAGAGAGAAAGAGAGAGAAAGCCAGAATGATGTTAAAAAGAGAGAGTAACCTCACAGCTCTTAAAAATTTTAATGGTGCCATTTTTAGGACAAATTGAAGGTGAATTGTGAATCCTCTGGGAGCTTTTTGTTGTGGTAGTTGAAAATACAAGTCAGCACTGTTGCTTTGAGACCAAGAGAAAGTATTAAAAACTGTTCCAGAATATAATGCATAGCCCCCAGCATGCAGTACTGCACTGAAAAGACTGTGTCCTTTCAAGTGAATACAGCAAAGCATAAATGAGCATAAATCAAGATGTTTTCAGTGAATAAATGGCCTCCTTTAATGTTTAGCAAGGTCAACGTCAATTCAGTTATTCTGAACTATTATATTTTACATCATAAGGAATGAGCTCTTCTTGCCTTGCCTTTAACCCTTTCTATAGCATTCACTTGCTGGATGCTGAATTATATATAATCTGACTGTAGCCTCAATGACTGTTCAGTATATTGCAGGTAAGGAAAAAACTCAGGTTCTGCCTTTGGACCTGTGTTTAGTTACTGTTTTAAGGACATTGTCACAGTGTGACAGGCTGTAAACCAATTCAAATCATATATATTCAAATATTCAAATCGGACCCAGAATCTGGAAGACATTTAAACTGCTGAGTGTTTTATCAAATTACTTCAAAGTGTAACCGTTACCTCCCGTTCACTGCTTGCGGCATATACAGCAGAATTTCAAGCTTTGTGAACGAATAAAAATGCTCCTGTGGGGTTGTAGTTGCTAAAGTTTTGCTATATATGCAGGGTTGTACCTTTTGGCTTTAAATAACTGAACCAGATCTTTTGTGCTGATGATTCAACCAGGAGAATGCTATGCAAAAAATGAACTGGGCTTTAACTTTTGGAACTCTGTACATGTATCGAGCCCCGAGTTGTACTGCATGGTCATGACTTGAACCAGCGACCTCGGGTACGTTAGGTGGACGCAATGATGAGGAGGCTAAATACCATGGCTGCTGGGGAATGAGGTTTACTCACTGGCTTCCATTACACATGAAATAACTCCTCCCATTTTGCCACTCTGTTAATGTTAAATGGCTACATTCAACAATGTTAACAAAACATAACATAATTTGAACAGTGCAGAAGCATAAAGTTCATCAATTTACTCCCATTTATTTGAACACAGATGAAATTTTGGGGGGACGAAATCTCTCTGTTGTAGAATATACATATATATAGTCTATCAACATTTTGAATATACGTCTCACCCAATACATATTATGATCACACATTTATTCCAAAGTGGTCTGACACAGTTTTAGACATTCTACCCACTGTTAGTGTTTTGCAGCATTCAAACCAAGTGTGTCTTATATTTAGTTAGAACAGTGTTAAAATAACTTCTGGGCCAAGGCTTTATATAGACTGTTAGTGTTCACAGTCTAAACTTATTACCCTGCATTAGACAGCGAATTCTGACCACCCATAGAGAGAGAGGGAGGGAGAGAGAGAGAGAGAGTTGTCCGTGTTTAAACAGTGACAAATTAACTTGGACTAACACTGTGAGCAGCCCTGTGAGGCACTTATTATGTGAGGCTCCTTGGAGCTGGAAGAGTTTCTAGTGGACAGTTTCATGTTTCTGAACATTTGTGCATATGTGTGAGTTTATAAACATGTGTGAAGAAAAAACATATTTTGATAAAATGCTTTTTATCATGCCTATTATTAGTGTTAGCATTAGCTGTAGAAGTAGTGGTAGTGTTTTTTAGTAGTAGCATTGTGGGAAATGTGCTTATTCACTTTCTTGTTGACAGTTAGATGAGAAGATTGGAAGGACCAAACCTCACCTAGAAATCAGATCAACTTAGTTAAAAAACAGTTCACATTAACAAAGTTAATTTACCTTCCTGCCATGCAGGGGTGTGTGTGTGTGTGTGTGTGTGTGTTTATGTTGTTGACATCCTGCTAAGCCCCTCCCCTCCTCCATAACACTGCGCTACACTCCTCCTCCTCCTCCTCTTCCTCCTAATCCTGCACTCTGGCCATAGTTTGGGACTCTTCCCTCCTCTCCTGTCCATCTTCATCCGTCTCCACCTCAACGTTGTCCTTTCCTTCTCTCTCTCTGTTCCTCCCGGACGCCTGCATCACCCATGAGGTTTGTCAGCTTGCACTTGTTGGTCACCTCGAGCTAGGACTGTAGGTTATTGTCCCAGATGTATAACTTGAGCTTTGCATTTAACTTTTGAAAGCATGTCAGCAGATTTAGTCAGATTTACTGGGTTGTTGTTGTTGTTGTAGCTCCTAGAAATGTATGCATTTTTAATGCTGAAGAAAGAAAACTCTTTCTCTGTGAGGATTTCTAGTCAGTTTCTCTGAACCTTTTTGTGAAGAAGTAATAAGGTAATATTGGTCAACTAATTAGCCAGGTTCTTGCTACTTTGGTGTAAAACAGACATTGATTTAGAATTTCCTTTTGTTTGCAACATGTAATTAAAAATCTCAGTGTCTGTTTGATATTATAATTTAGTTTTTGCCTCAAAAATTCATGTTGGGGGCTTATGTGCTACGCGTTATACAGTGTTACTATATACATGCTTGTTTGAGATTTTGTTGCTGCAGGTTCAGATGGTCAGAGAGGCACCTGCAACTTCTATTGTGAGGCTAGATCTGCTCTGTGTCAATGGCTTTGACACCAGAATGGAGTCACATTACTGCACGGCTGTACAGTAAAGTAACAGACCTGAATCTTCTCTTCTGATCTGCGTTAACACAATGTGGCAGCATCTGGGTGTCCACCAAGTGACAGAGAGCAGAGACAGAGAGAGCAGGGGGTTTGTGTATGTGCGTGCTTCTGTTGCCAGTGTATTTTTGTGTGTGTGTGAGGCTGCTGCCCTTGCTGAATGAATGCCTTCTGATGAGCTGTAGCGTCACTGTTTGAGTGTATTCATGTGAAGAAACTTTAAAAAGTTTCTGTCTCCACACAAAAGCTAGCTGTCCCTCTCACATTTTGGAGTACAATGAGAGAGAGAGAGAGAGAGCGAGCAGAGGCTTCTGAAATCAGAACATCATGCGTAAGCAGACACCTACGATCTCAAACTTTGTGCCAGTCTGATATAATTTGTGCAGATTTTACTAATTAAATGTCTGTGAAGTTGTCAGTTAATGAAATAAAGCTGACCAATCAGGGGAGTACTTTTCTTTGTGCAGCATATGTGAAAAATCTTCTCTGCACCTTCAGTTTTAAGGAACAAAATTTTTTTAGTGTTGCTCAATGACTTGTATGTAAGTAGGGTACCTAGAGGTCAGCAATGTTGTCACTGACTGACTGAGAAGGTTTAGCTTAATGTCTTGTGACCATTATAACTATGAAAGGGGTTGGAGGGCTTCTAATATCTAAATGGTGTCAGCCGACGCTGCCTCTAATGCATTTACTGCTTGGGTTTTTTTGTGTGCAAGTGGTGTCAGTGCTCTGCAGAGTGTGCTTGCTCTGGTCATCGGTCCTTCAACTGTGAAGAGCATCAAGTGTTTGAAATTGCTGAGCATAACAAACATCCCCCTCTCTCCTAAACTTGATATGCATTCACAAACACAGAGGGATGAGTGTTGACGCATGTGTGTGTGAAATTACATGGTTTTCCTCAGCTGTAGACAGGCACCAACACATAGGCGCGTGTGTGAGTGTGACGATCCATGAAAAGAGCTTTGGGTCCACTTCGGCTGATTTTCCAACATGCGCTGATGTTATCAGGAGGCTCTGAGAGGAGAAGGCAGCTGGACTAACCCTGAGACAGTCAGAGAGGGTGACAGGTTTTTATGGTAGACAGGAAACTCAGTGGTCGTCTGTGGTCCTTTTCCGCTTTGGTATCCTTACTTACTTATCCTTACTCCTTTACTGTCATTTTCTGCTTTTGATTTTATTCTCTAATGACTGCTATAATTAAGCAGTTGGGTCGTAAACCCTGAAATTCTTTCAACGTGTTTCTTCAAGCAGACAGCACGACCACCACAGTGAAAGAGGGGCAATGTGCAGTGTAATTCCAGGATTTGGCCCAAGGCCGCACAGGGCAATTAGGTCAGTGACCCATTCTTAGGGCATGTTAAGACTATTCTGTGTTTATTTTTAAGGAAAAGTGCTTCCTCATTGTATGCTGATAATGAATGGGTTTCTCAAAATGGAGCAAGAAAAATAAGCAAGATTAATCCATGGTGATCCATGGTCCAGCAATTTTTCTATCAGGTTTATCCAGGGGCAACTGTGGCTCAGGAGACAGAGCGAGTGGCCCGTTAATCGGAAGGTCGGCGGTTCAATTCCCTGAAGCTGAAGCCGCACTGAAGCCAGTGGCTGTTCCATCAGTGTATGAATGTGTGTTAGTTAGTTTCTGTTTGAGCACTTAGGCTTAGTGTGTGTGAATGCAGATGTAGTGTAAAAGCGCTTTAAGTCTTTGGTCGAAAAGACTAGAAAGGCGTTTTTTTTTCACAATTTAAATCTTAAAATGTGAACTTTTTTCAGCTCTAGGAAGAACACTACTGTGTCTAAAAAGAATACACATGCAATACTTTTTTTTCCAAAATGAAATCTACCCCACCTTGTGGTCACTTCATTAAATGTAAAAATAGTGGTTTCAATTTTAAAAGAAAGTGTGAACACACACATCTGACTTTGGCATTTCTTTTGCGACAGAGCGATGTTTTGGAAGTGTTGAACCTTGCATGGAAACTGTAGTGTCACTTCTGACCCAACATGTTGAAGATTGACCACTTTCCTTCACCCTTGGCAACCCAACTGGAGCGTGTCAGTCCCGGTCACTGGGTCCAGTCATGACAATGATCAGCTGTCCCAGTGTCCAGGGCCTCTCCATGTCCCGCCTTTATTCTTCTGTTCCTTTCTGACCCGAAATCTAAGCTGACCCCATTCACGGACAGCAGAGACTGTCCTGCTGGCCCACATCAAAGCTTCACTCATCCCAGACCTGCAGTGCCAGTCCCCGTATTCTTTCTGCCTGCTCCATAATCAGAGCAGGTCCCCCTCTCATTCATCCGCCTCCAATAGGAAGCCAGCTATTAGCAACCTGACCCACTTTTCCAACTGCTAGCACGGCTAATTGAGCTCTAATCACTTCCTAATGGCAGCATTGTTTCAGGCTGCTCTCACTAAATGCTAAACAGGGGGAGAAAGGAGAGGCGGTGAGTGAGTGCCTATTTCCAATTAGTGCATTAAAGGTGCTGTAAAAATGAACCAGATGAGAAAGGGGTAAACAAGCAAGTTGAGCATAAATGCTGACTTAATGAGACCATATGAATAACATATGAATGCGGAATTAATATAGCTATTGTGAATTAAAGGAAACTTCACTCTTCTTAACCAAATGAGCACCATGTTAGAGTTATTTGATCATTCTCCTGTGTGCACCATTGGAAAAGACAGGGAATTCAATGTGATTTTTCTTCCAAAAACTTCCAGCAGAATGAGAATGTATTGCCTTTTCCAATACGAATAAACTTGGTTCAAGAATTTTCTAAAATCAAGTATTTATCAAGCATTTATCTTAAAGCTAATGCAGCAACCAACCTAATTCTGTGTTCAGACAAGATATGGTCGATTCCTCAAATTCTTGTAACAGTTTGATATGTACTGGAGAAAGGTTGCAAAGAACAAAAAAAATCCTGCACACTGTGTCATTCTAGTCCACAGAGCTACATCAGGTAAAATTCATGCAAACAAACAGCACTGGGACCATATTTATATAAATGTAAACAGCCCAAGAAAAACTTTGTTTCTGAAATTTGTTTAGTCACTTGTCTTAAGAAAACAAGACTTTATGGACTTAGTAATTAACAAATATGGCGTTAAGATTTTTTTTAAGAACCAAATCTTCCATAGGTCTAAGGTTTATTTCAAGGCACAATAGCAGCAGCAGTGACTTGGAATAAATATAAGTCTGTGTGGGTGTGCGTGTGTATGTGTGTACATAAAGTGAGAGTGGTACGTTGAAACGGAACTGTTATGATTAATTCCACCCAGTGCTCTCTGCACAGGCCCACTCTCTCACTGGCCGTTGGTGTTTGAATATTCAAATGTTGCTTGTCTGAACTCTGTGTTGTCAGTAGAACCAGACTGACAACCTCAGCAGCTCCTCAGGATACTCTAGTTCTCACAGTAAGAACAGTGACTTACATCAGGAATTTCAGCTCTTCTCTTGCTACTTCAGTTTTTGGTAAGTTTGCTTGTTGAGAGGCTGCTGACTCACTTGTTGCAAATCTACCCGGGCAATTTCTTCTTAGTGATACATTTAAAAGAAAAAATGGTTTGATGGAGCTTGTTTACACTGCAGAAATGGCTTTCCGCTCTGCTCATCTCCAAGTTAAACTGTGTTTTTATCCTGTTTATGAATATAACTGACGAGGGACAGTACATGTAACCAGATGTAACCAGACAATGTTTCCTTTGTAAAGCAGAGGGACTCTGACCAAAAGCAGTCCATATAAGTCCAAGCCTTATAAGCGCAGCAGCACTGCTTCTTGACTCAGGCTGTTTGGCAAGACTTTAAAGCACTTGAGCCTGCTCCTCATTGTTTTTATAAACACTTTGTGATATGCTCCTCTTGTTGTTAGTGCTAAGGGGTTTTTAACAGTTTTGGTGGCCAGCTTGAAGGAACGTAATGACACGCACCTCCAAGCCCTTATAAGGCAGCTTTGTGTGGGGTCAAGGAAGACTCACTCCTCAGCATCTGGTTTCTTTTCTCTCCCACAGATCCTCCCTCTGCTTGACTTTTCCTCCTCATCTGCACCTTCCTATCTCATTGTTTAAATAAAATGTCTCTTTTCTGGTGCAGATTCCTCAGAGGGCATGACCTCACAACCTTTGGTGATGACTGAGCATGCTCCGTCATCTGCAGTGACTGTCAGCTCCTCCACCAGCATCCCCGCTGCTACCTCCGCCCTGACTCCTCCCCCATCTTCGTCATCCTCCTCCTCCTGTTCCACAGCTATTCCCCAGGCCAACAGCAACAGCAAGCCCTGGAGGAGCAAGTCAATAAGCTCCAAGCACACCTCCTCTCCTTCTCCTTCCTCCACCAGCACCTCCTCCTCTGCCATGCAGTCCGTCAAGCAGGAGAAGGACACCTCCTGTAAGGCTGCCCTGGCAGGTGAAGCTCCTCCTAAGGTTGTCACTCAGAAGTCAATGCTGGAGAAACTAAAGCTCTTTAACAGTAAAGGAGGCTCCAAATCTTCCACCTCCTCCAATGGAGTAGGGGCCCAGACTGACAACGCTGCCCTAACCAGGCAGCTTGGAGCAGGGCAGGTGGAGAGAGCCGAGACTGGCTCCAACACCGACCCCCTGGAGGAAGATGATGGCAACGTCAGGCCGGGAATGAACGGGACCAGCAATGGGACGGCCTATGTAGCAGCTCCCTCATCAGGTACTACTGTCTCCACAACCGCCAGCAGCCCTAAAATTGCCCTGAGGGGCATTGCCCAGCGCACTTTCAGCAGAGCTTTGACTGCCAAGAAGAGCTCTGTCAAAGGTACCGAGAAGGACAAGGATAGGGGAAAGGAGAAGGAGAAAGTGAAGGAGGTGGGGAAACGAATATCAGTCCCTGACAGGACAGAGCTCAGGGGAGAGGAGCCTAAGGAGGAAGTAGCACCCGTTGCTGTAGACACAGACAGCTCAAACAAAAGGACCTCTAAAATGACCAGCTTCATTCCCAAGGGGGGTAAAGTGGCCAAAAAGGAGAGTTCCACCCCTGCACACAGCGGAATACCAAAGCCAGGAGGCAAAGCCCCAGGAATCGGGGGGAAAGCTTCCTCAGTGAAGGAGGTAGGGGAGAGACCTCGGAGCATGCGGTTAGTAGGTGGTCTCGCCATGCACCGCGGCCCCCTGGACAGAGACAGGGACAGGGACAGCAGACACTCCAGCTCTACTTCCAGTCTTGCCTCCACAGAGGGAAAGACCAGCACTGCCCCTGTGGCGGGAGGAGGCACTACACAGAGCACAGCCAGCAACACGGTCAGCGTGCAGCTACCTCAGACTCAACAGCACCACAGCCACCCCAACACAGCCACCGTCGCACCTTTTATGTACAGGTGAGATCATGCAGACAGGGGCTTAAAAACAGCTGCTAAAGCATTGGAAAAAGTGGTTCCATATTTACTATTTCTCTTATCACATTAAATATTTTTTTGCATTTTGGGTAATGTAGGCACAAGGATGTGTGGAATGACAGATCTCTGGTTCTACTGCATCGATTTAAATACTGTCCATTGTGAGTCTGACAGTGTTCTACAGTAGGACTGCAATGTTAAATCAGTGAAGTACTCTTTGAAAAACTAATTTAGCTTAAGTGAAAATCGTTTTACAATAAATATCTTAAAAATCTAGACCTGATGGCTACAACACAGTGAGTAAGACTTCATAAAATACTAATAAAACTGAGTCATTAAACCACTGCACACAGCACATTTTCCAGAATTGGTAAATACAAAATGTGAATCTAACCATCTGTGAGCTGTTAACCAGGAATGTTCATGTGTGTGTATGCAAAGTGAATTGTCTGCATGTGTGTGTGCACATGTATCTGGGCAAATATGTGTGGATGTTGTGCCCCTGACCTCTGTCCTGGTCCCAGTGTGATAAGGAAGGAGGTCCCTCTCGTTCTCAAAGAGTCTTTTCTAACAGCCACTCATTAGCCCCCTGACACTTCCTGCACCGCTGCCCTTTCTCCCTCTGTACATCCTGACCTATAGCAAACCAACCCACCTCTCCAAAACCACCCCCATCCTCAGAACTCAGAAATGTTCTTTTTTGCTGTATACCTGTCAGGTACCATTACCACCAGGATTATACCACCTCCACATGTCAGAAATTAAAATATGTTTGACAGAAATTAAAGAAATAAGCCATCGATGTCCAAATTGACTTTTTCCCTCACCTGCCGAGGACTGTAAACTTAAAAAGAAAGCACCTTGACAGAAAAAATTGATACTAGCCAGAAGGATTGTTAGTGCATGAAAAGAACCTATAGTTTCAACCCATGTGAGGTCAGTTAACCAGAAGTTGATGCTGTAATGTTTTATGGAGCAGTGTAAGCTGGCTTCAGTGGTTTTGACTGGTTCACACTCAGAGAGTGTGTGTACAATAGTCAACAAGGACAAAGTCTAGGATCAGGCAAAGACCAAAGGCTGTATATAACCGAGGCATTCGTCTCAAAAAGCACCAGCCAGTGCAGTGGGTGAACTTTATTGATTTATCCTTCAAAGACAACCTTCACTGGCATTTGGGGCTTAGCAGGCGTTCATTTTGGATCCCGGTCACAAGACTTGAAACACAGCAGATTTAATTCTTAATCAGGTTTATCCCCCTTTCGTGACAATTTGCAGTATATTAGGTTCCCACTAAATGCACAGTAATTCAGAATCGATGATATCCCCCCACTGATCCCTCGCACAATTTGTTTTTCCAGATCCCAAACAGACTGCGAGGGAATAGCGAACACTGAGACCGGCTCAGGAGGAATAGGGGGAGACGTGTCCTTCACCAAGACCAGCCAGCTCTCTATCGAGGACCTTTCAGGTGGGTGATCATTTACAGTGTAGTGTCTGTCTCTGTTTGGAATCTCTGTTAGCTAAATTATGTCTTATTGAGCTGGTTAACATTTGAGATTTTTTATCTCACTCAGGTGAAGACCCAGAGACGAGGCGGTTGCGTACTGTCAAAAACATAGCAGACCTGCGGCAAAACCTGGAGGAGACCATGTCCAGCTTGCGAGGAACTCAGGTCACACACAGGTAAAAATCTAATAAATTCATTCTCCCAGCAGGTTTTCATTGGCACTGACTGGTGATTCAGTACTGCACCTCAACTGACCCCACCTACTCTGCTTTTTAGGAGTGTAAGAGGTCAATTTTAATGTAACAAGCTTGTTGAACTCTTACTTCTTTATTGTTATTTATGTAGAGTGTTTCCTTGTATTTGTATCCCAAATAGTTTATTGATGAAGAAGTTATAAATGTGTTGCAGTAGAAAATAACTCTACTCCTGGGGGCTCATCAAAGTGTAGCACTTTACAATGGCTGCTACGCCTGAGTGGTAAACAGGCTAAATCAGGCTAACTGGTTGGGGATTTGAGTGACTGAACTGCCTCATGGTCAGCAGACTGTGTCCGTCTAGACTTACAGGTAATACCTTTTTTGTCTTGTTGCCGTCTCATCCTTCTTTTGAAGGGTATTTTTCTTTGATCGCAGGGTATGTCTTTCATGTCGTCTTTGATTCAGGTTAAGCTCTAATCACGTTCCCTCCCACAGAATTTTGACCTCTGCTCTGGCCTCACGTCTCAGCGGTGACCCCGCTGTCTAGATTTAGTTTAGGTTCTATTTTAACATTCATATGTTCTGTCCATTTCCTGTTTTCGATTGTAAGAAAAATTACTTTCTCCCTGTCTGTTTACCGAGAAGATTATACAGTTTTCCACTACTACTTTGACAGTTTGTTTGCCTGTACTATATTCTGTACCTTAAAACGCTTTCAGATTTCTGTGTAATTTGGGGAGCAGATCGGCAAACTAACCTTTGCAATTGCTCTGGTTTTAATGGTGATTCAAATGTGTAATCTCTACCATTGTTGACAATCATTGGCAAAACTTTTTTTTTGTAAAATGTACTGCTCGTTATTTAGTTGGCTTCAAATGACACTTAACGTTCACACAGTTTCTCTAGACTGTCCCTCAATATTACAACATGGGTCCAAGATTGTGCAACATGCCAACACAAAGTTAGCTAACTTACAAAATAAACAGTCAAACAACATAAAAGATGTCAAAACTTACAGCTTCCAACTTTGAAATTGGTTCACAGACAGCCCATGGCAATCCATCCTTGCACTTCAACCATTACGGCCCTCGTTTTGTTTGTCCAATTTTTGAATAATTGATTTATTCATTTTACATGCACTGAAGTATACAGCAAGAAGGTATGAACATAGTGGTTGTTGTGGCTACTTTTAATCCCCTGTGGTTGGCTTGCCAGTAGCGTGATATTTCAAGTTTGAGTTGATCGTAACAGGCTTTACTGTACTGTTACTATAGGTAGAGATTTGATTCCAAGTCATTAAGCCATCCATTGCATCCATAGAGAGGTTTTTGTTCTCCAAATGCCTCTTAGTTGGCTCAATTTATTCTCTTTGCTTTTTCTATTTCCACAAATTAAGTGGCTTTGAATAGAACTTCATCAGAAACATTTGAAATGTAGATGTCTGTGAAGGTTCTCAGTCGTCCAGGTCATATTTGTCCAAGAAAGGTTAAAAATCAAGGGCAACTGCACTTGGTTGAAGTTCAAGGTCCAGTTGCTCTTGACTTTTAACCCTCCTTGAATTCAAAATGTAGATTTATATATTAAATACTCTCACAAAGAGAGTTTTGAGTGATAGCTGGTTTCAGTCCCTTTTGTTAAGATGTGGATCACAGATTGTGCCTTTATTCTCTCACCTCTCTGTCTCCTTTTCCACCTGCTCAGCACCTTGGAAACTACCTTCGACGGCGGCGTCACCACAGACATCAGCAGCAGCGGAGGTGGCTGTGGTGGCAGCAACAACAGCGGAGGGGGTCGGAGCATCCTCAGCATTACTTCTTCCCGCCCCTCTTTGTCATCATGGCGACTAGGCCAGTCCAGCCCTCGTCTGCAGGCGGGCGATGCCCCTTCTATGGGGAACAGTTATGGCGGCCGTGTGGCTGGAGGCCAAGGAGGACGTTACCTGTACCCTGGGCACCTCCGACGGCAACTGGCTGGCAGGGGAGGAGCCCTCTGCAGCGTGGACCTTGGAGACCGAGTCGGGGAGGACTCTGACCTGGACGCCATCTCTATGGAGGTCACTGGATACATGAGCGATGGAGATGTGCTGAGCAAGAATGCTGTGCGCGCTGATGATGTCACTAGCGGGTAAGTGGGTTACGCTGGTGGACGCTTTTTTCAAACAGGTTTTTTAGCTAAAGCTGAAATAATTTGTCGATGGATTGATAAGTCCATTGACAGAAAATTACTCTACAACAGTTCTGTTCATTTATCAAGCAAAGATGCCGAACATCTGCGTGTTCGAGCTTGTCCAATGCAAGGATTTGCTGATTTTTGTGGTGATCTTTGGAAACAGAATGCCTTTCATTTTTGCATGATTGGTTGGACAAAACAAACTATTTGTAGACACTTGGGCTCTGCAAACTTGTGACAGTTTCCACAGTTTAAATAAATGTAATCTTTTTGGGGGTCAAGTGAGAGAGCCAGTTGACACAGTTCCTGATTCTGTAGTCATCAGAAATCTGCAGGGTGACAAACAGTTTTTGCATTATAGACATATGTTTATATTGTATGTATATTTTGTCCAGAAAAAAAGATTATTTTTAGATCATCTATTTATTTTGACCTCATAGTTTGAGTATTAATGCAAACTTGCCAGAAGAGGGCAGTAGTGTTCCCTTCTCATCATTTCGCCCTATAATCTAAGAACCAGATGATATCCCACAATTTAGCCTCAGCATCATAAGCAACATTTATTCTGTATAGCTCAGATCCCACAAATATCCCATCTCTCTCTGTCTGCAGACACAGTAATGCTGATATGCTGCTAACCTGTTTATTTGCTCTCTCAAAGCTACTGTCCATGTTGTAACAGGCCCCCTGCATACCTTGGCTGTCACACTGCACAATTTAAATCTCTGCTGTCAACATTATTCTCAGATGAAGTTGTAAAAGGCGCCAGCTCACCTTCAAATGGCATCGAAATCCCAGAGACAGAGAGACCAGGGTCTGGTAATAAAGCTGCCTTAGGAATTAGTTTGAGATCAAGTGAATGCAAATGTAGAAAAGAGTCTATGAGCTGAAGCAAGGTGATAAAAAAACACATCTCTTATAAATTGGAGTGGGAATTACTTCCTCTGGCCCCCATGGATTTGCACTGATTCACCAGCCCTCAAGCAGCTGTAGAAGTTGAGGGAGCTAAGTGCTCTTGGAGCACTTGATATGTCTGAATCTGTGGCTGAGCAGACAAAGGCCAAGCCACAGCCACACCTGGACAGGTGAGTGATGTGAACAGGTGAGCAGAGCCATTTGCTCAGTCTGAAAACTTAATATCCAGGCTGGGTTGGACTTGTGAGGAAGACATGCAAAAATAATTTCCTTAAGAACATTTTCTGATGGTATTGCTCAAGCTGTAACTAAATATTTTTTCATGACAATTGGAAGAAAAAAAATAGATTGATTAATCATTTCGTCTGTAAAATGTTAGAAATTGTAAAAGGAAAAAAAAAATTAAAAAGGCCACAACTTAACCATTTAAAAGAGACACAGACTAATGCCCCCCCACCTCCATATCCTTAGGCCATTTACCAGTTAGCTTCATCACAGTTTGCTGTTCGCATCCACTAACTGGTTCTTCTACACAATAGTGGGATGTTTACACAGAGAGGAGGTGCTGATATTTATGTCACAGGACAAAACTATCACAGTTAATCTCTTTCCTCCACTTCAATGTTAATTAAATGGTCAGTTCACACAAATCATAAAAGAAACCATTTCTATCTAGCCATGCAGATAGTTCTGGTTTTCTTTGTCCATATTTTGAGAAATCTGTCTTTGAAATGTATGCTTTCACCTTAATACAATGGATGTGAATGGAATAAAATTTTTACCATTCTAACCATTAAAATAATAACACTGACAAAATTTAACGACAACATCTCTTTCCAGAAGTAATGTGTCTGTTACTCCTGTAACCATCTAATTTACTTTCTACTAAAGAAATTGTCCCTATCAATCTTTCAGATATTACGTTTTCAATGCTCTTAGCGCCACAAATTCACTTCAAATGTGAGGATTTGCTTTTGCTTGTTGCATATTAATGCAAATGTGGTTTTTGACTGTTGGTCGGACAAAACAAGCAATGTCAAGATGTCACCTTCAGCTCTGAGAAATGGCACACATTTTCACTATTTTCTGACATTTTATAGAAAAAATTATTTATCCATTTAACAAAAAACACCAGAGAGATGAATCGGTAATAAAAACAATCATTAGTTGCAGCTCTAGACATTAATAAGCTGATTGAGATCTCCAGATCAGCATCAATCTTGGTAGTTAATTTATTTATTGGTCTCTGAGTCCTACAACAGCGACAACATGACTGATGATACCATATTTAGTATTTGCATCAGTTCTCCACAATCTCCAACCCCCTCCTCTATTTTTTCCTATTCGGCTTTTTGGGCCCTTGGAGACAATACCCCCCCCCCCCCCCCCCCCCCCCCCGCCACACACACACAAAAACCTCCTCGGCTCAGGGGTATGTTGCCGATCAATCCCTTTACCCTCCCCCTTCCCTCCCTTCCTCCCATTCTCTCCCATCCCTCCTCCACCTTTTGCAGAAAGACCCAACCTCCAGCCAGGAGGGGATGCATGTGGAGCTGAGGGGAGAGGCTGCATACCAGCACTGAGCTTCTACACAGCAACACACTCACACACATTCAGGCTACACATAGACACTTTATCTATACATGGAGAGTTCATTGGTACTGTTCACCCTCAGATATCACCATGATCAAACACGCTCCTAACTGGTGATATTATTCACATAACAGCAGATCTTGCTCACACGTTCAGACCTGATAACAGACAGTAGCCAGACGGTTGAAAACGGACACCTTTGCTTTGGAGATTTTTATCAACCGTGATCAACCGTCACCTGGAGTTGTTTATTTTTGTTTGGACAAACTGTGTTACCATGTTTAAGGCAGAAAGGTACGTCAGAGTGTTTTAAACCGTCAACAGAAATCAGAAGCTCTAGAGGCGATTGTTTTGTTTGTTGGGCAAGTTGTTTGTTTTTTGTAGAGCATGACATTTTGTGAATTTACTCCTATCCTCCTGTGTACAGTGCATGCATTCTTAGTAAGTTAAATATTTCTGCAGTTTCGTTTACTCAAGAACTTTTTCTTCTGTTAGTTGCACGGTTGTGTAAACTGTACCTGGTTGCATGGTTTCAGCCTATAAACTGTCTTGTTTGGACATGTTTCTCCTGCAGCAGAAGGTTACAGGTTAACAAGCATCTGAAACAGGAGGACAGGGAGGCTCAGTTACTCATTAGTGTAAAGGACTAATAAGTGTGTGTTTTTGTGTACATGTGTGAGAGTGACTGACTGACTCCCTGGCCATCTTCAAGGTGACTTTGCTTTGGGATGATGGATGCTTCCCATAAAAGAACAGCTAACCCCCCTCAGAGTGGATCCTTTGTTAACAGTCTTCAACTGTCTTCATTGTCTATTGTCTTTCTTGTTGTTGTAAAGTTCTGCAACACAACAAGTCTTGTATCAGTGAAGGAAGTTATATTTACATCGATTTTATGTGTCTGATTATGGGGTTCCTGAAAACAAAAATAGGTCTGACATTTTGCTGGTCCATTACTTGACATAATAACTCAAAAACCGATAATAAACACAGCATAAGAACAAGGCAAAGAAACACCAATTAAAATGATAGAAACCATTTTTGTACTTCATTAAGTACTTCATAAAGGCAGTTGAGAATATAAGTGTTTTTAATCTGGATTTAAAGGTAGGCAAATGCTCTTTCATCTGGAAGTTTGTTCCTGCTCGTTGGTGCATGGTAACAAAATACTGAATCTGTATGTTTAGTTTGGACTTTGGTAATGGTTAGCAGACGGCTACCAGATGACCTGAGAGAGTAGCCACAGCCGTTGCACTGCATTCATGTGGTGAGAAAGTCCAACATCTGGTACTTTCAGGTTTGCTACTAAAAAAAAGTTGTATGTGCATGCTGTTGGATACAACGACTCAGCATGGTGAATTTTAATTTTTATCATCATTTTCTCATTGTGTTGCTTTTCCAACACTGTTCTCATCAACTTCATTTCCAGCAGCAGGCAGCTGTGTTGAGTAAAAAAAAAAGCTCTAATTAACCCGCACACAGACCAAGTTAATGACTAGCTAGTGAAGAAATTTAACATTGACTAGCAAACCCGAGCTAAAGGCAGAATGAAAATTGGACTTAAACGCCAAATTAATGTTAATGTTAACTCTGCATCTGCAAATATAAATTCACATTAACAACTTTAAAAGGTGTTAATGTGTCATATTTGTGTTTTCAGATTGTTTTGTTGCCCTCTAGTTGCCAAAAATACATTAATCCATTATCACAGTTACAGCTGTAAAGATTATAAAGACTGCAACATCTGGATCTCTCTGCTGAGTGACTTCTGGTTGCCACTGAGTTTCTGTCTTGCAGCTCAGATGTTGATTCTGTTTGACTGGAGGTTACACAAAGGAGCTCTGTCTGTTGGAGACACTGTACTGTGTGTATACTGTATTTACATGTAGGTCTAAATGCATGTTTCTGTGTCTGTGTGTGCCTGTGTGTGCTGGGTTCCTTCTTGCTGAGATCCACGTAAAGATAACACAGAAAATGTTTTAATGGTCGAACTCTTGCTGGGCGTATTTTTATACTCTCTTAACTGCAAAAACAGAATCATCACAGTCCCACACAGAAAACATTCACCATTTGAACTGTCTCAACGTTAAATCAGCAAACATTTCATTAAATTACACCTGGGTTAAATGTGTCAATATTTTCTTCCATTAGGAATCTCCTCCACGGGTAAATATTTGGGGAATTAGTTAGTGTTGTTTTAGTTTGAATGGGAATGTTTGTGTAAATATTCACGGCCTCAGCATCAGCTTCAGACTGTAACTGCCGCTAACGGTCAGCCTCTGACTCCAAAAACCAATAATTCACGTCTCTTTGAATGTAATTTTCCCCGTTATGAAATGAAGTAAATGGCCTACTTAGCCTGCACTTACATATTCAGTGTATTTTTAACTTCTCTTAATGTTCAGCAACTCAGTCAATCATAATATCCCAGCCTGAAGTAGATTCTGGACTGAATATCCTCCTTGTAGGAATAAAAAACAAACTCATCATCCTCTGTCCACTGAGCTGCCACTTCTTTTACAGACTGCTGTTGTTTACCACTGGCCACATGAGAGATATGTGTCAGCTAGACAAACCTGCTATAGTTTGTTCTCTTCAGTGTTTGTGTGGGAGGTCATTGCCAACTGTTTGGCTCTGATTGATGAGAGCTTTGCCTCGGCCGGAAAGTTAGATGGATGTGGGTTCCTCCTGCTCTGTACACAACAAAAGCAGCTCTGAGAAGAAGAACCGTGTGTTAACTCTAGCCAAACTCTTAGACAAAGTGTGGTACTGCTCAACTTCAAATCATCCTCGCTGAGCCCTTTAATTGCGCATCTTAGAAGTGCTTTATGGTGACTAAATCTAATGTGCTTTGTTGTGTTTTGCAGCTATATGACTGACGGAGGTTTGGGTCTGTACACACGGCGTCTGAACCGCATGCCCGATAGCATGGCCGCCGTCCGAGAGAATCTCCACAGAAACACGTCCTCTGGACAGGGAGATGCTGACAGGTAAGTCTAAAGTCCCTTAAAGAGGAAATTCCACCCTCTTATTTTCTTACACTTTGAAAGTATCCAGTCCAGTTACACTTGGATGGAGTTGGAGAGGAAAGCCCAGGACGGGGGCAATGGAGAGGAGTTGTGGATGACCTGTGCTCCATTAGGAGAGAAAGTGTTTAAGTCAAGTCAGATGTTCGGTGAATTTCAAGACTGAACTTGATATGCTTGTTCAGTTGTGGGAGTTTGGGCATAAACAGTAAATATGGTTAGCCCGTAAGTTTGTAGACATGTCTTGTGATTGTAATGCTTCTAGTCTGTTTCCTGCTTCTTTCATTGCACTTAAGGTGCAGAGTAGGTACATTGTCTAATTTCCTGGAAGTTGAAATAGATAATACATTAGCCTTGGTTGAAATAGTTGTGGGTATAATTAAGAAATGGTTTAAAATCGCATGTTTTATGAGTGTAGAAGGTAAAGCTGGTCTTGAGGCGTAAAGCTTTGCACATAACCAGAAGCTAAAATACAATATCTAGAACAGCTGGTGTAGAAGAACAGCTGAAACACCATCATATCCTGTCTATTGCTTAATGTCTTAATAAAAAAATAGTTGTATCTCTATTTCACAGAATGATATTGCGCAGGTTTTGCTCAGACTTGTACAACCACACAGTATGTGATGCAACTGAGATTTCTGCAACACGCCACACTTGTGACTTGTTAGAGAATAGCATTGAGACACATTCATTTCTGTTGGTATTATTAGGAGATATTGGCATGTATTTGTGTATTTGTGGGACTTTCCAGAGCGCCTGGTGTCCGCGTGAGTGATACGCTGTGATGCTGGGTTCTTTGTCCTGTCTCAGAGATGGAGAGGGATTTGGTTCCTGGCTAATTGACAGACGGAAATGGATGAAGGCCAAGCAGAGCCCCACCATGTTGCAAGAGATGGATGGGGGGTAGAAAGAAAGAGAGAGTATGGGGGGAGGGAATAAGCTTAATATGAAGATGGACTGTGGAATATCTGGAGATGGTTGGAGGAATAAATGAATGAGGAGTAAAGTGTGTGAGACCAAGGCTCTGCTCAAAAATATATTTTATTAAAAACATAATGTACCAGTTTCTGATGCTTTAGGAATAGCAATATTTAAAAATTTGAAATGAAAGCTTTATAATTATTTGAGTCATCAACTGAAGTGTTACATAGATGGACGTGCTGGTGTGTCTTCTAGTAGTCTCAAGTGCTTCAAGCAGCTTTTTCTGTAAATCCTCAGGTGTGGCTAATTTCCTGTCTTCCAGACTTTTGACCTCTACCCTCTCACTGCCTTTTGCCCTGCATATACACACACACACACACACACACACACACACACACACACACACACACACACACACACACACACTCACACTCACTCAGTCTTTCTCATTAAACTCCCCCAGCCCTTAGGTAGGGCTTAACACAAACTGTCCCTCTCCTCACCTTTCTTCTCTCCTCTCACCTTTCATTTTCCTCTCGCTTGTTTTGATTAGAGACTGTGGCAAGTAGAAGAAACTGGAAAGCAATTAAATGATAAAAGTTGGGGGATTTCTCTTATTTTCCGTTTGAATATGGTGCTTTCATGTTTTTCTGTGAGGTTTAATTGACCAAGTAGGCAGATGTTATGTTGCTCCAGAAGCTTCCCATTTCTCCTTTCATGATCTTAAGACTGCTTCATTATTGCTTTCATAAGATTAGAGAGAAGGGCAAGGAGAGAGTTTTAACATTAAGAGGGGATGAGGTGACTCCCCTCCTCTCAACCCCACCCCACCCCAAAGGAATGTCTGATAAATGTTCTTAGTGCTTTCAGTTTGGAATTAATTAGGAGAAGTAGGGAAGCGGCAGATAAAATTCATTAGCATAACAAACGGAAGCCAGTAGGGCTGGTGGGTAAACGAGGGTGACTGATTATCTGTTGTAAAAGATAAGCTAATTTAATATATGAGTTGGGGGTTAATGGTGCATTTTGGGCAGGTGGAACAGGGTGAGCACCTTTTCTCTGCATGTGTTTCCAACATTTTGTGGTTTGTGAGTGTCACAATTGAAGTTCTGAGCTCAGAGTTGTGTGTGGTCTGTATTTGTGCACTGGGTGTGTGCTCCATTTATAAACATACCATAGTTTATAGTTTAAATGCCATCTTTTTCTGTTCTCTATTTTTATTTATTTATTTATTTTTTTTACATCCTCTGGGGTGCAGCCATGCCTCTCAAGGCTGGTGGGGAAGTGGGGGTGGGGAAAGGTGTTGGGTGTCACCGTGGCATTGGGGCAAAAACCCTGTGACCCCTGGACGAAGAGTTCATGAGCTTCAAAGGACTGAGGTTCACAGTTAGGAACTTTCCAAAAACTGTTAAGATTTTGCACTAAAACCCTCCACATCCGACCAAACCTCACTAATGAGGAGCATAAAGGATGCAACTACAAAAACACAGCATTGAACGGCTTTTTCAGATAAAGATAAAGAAACCAATTAAAGCACATTTCATCTTATCAGCTGAGATGTCACAGCTGAAACTATGCTGCTGATCTGCACCCTCTGTTGGGAGTACAAAAACTAGTTTTACCAACTGTCAAATGTATGTAAAGCAGTGGGTGGAAGCTAACACTGAGTCATGGGACAACAGGACCTGTGAGGCTGAGTAAATAGGCAGAGGCAACAGAGACTAGAAACTCTGTGTGTATGTGAGTGCGTTAGCATGCTTATCCCTGTAATTTATCTTGGCAGTAGGAGAAAGAGGAAGCAATCTATAACAGTCTGCCTTCTGATTTGAATTCTCTTTGTTAAAGCAGACAAAGGAGAGGTCTCTGTGGTGTGAAACCACTGTAGCAGTGAGTGCTAGAGGGGAATCCCCCCCCCCCCCCCCCCCCCCCCCTTGCTGTGGCGTTGAAGATATAATTTCTCTTTTCCAAATGAGAATGTGACACAGAGAGGAGAACATCACATAAACCACTCAGTTGAAGGCTGATGACATATGGTTTCAAATGACAAATTATATAAATCTGAATAATGAGGTTGCACGACGATAAAAGATCTTGCTAATGTTTTTCACATATGTGCAAATGGTCTTTTTTCCCTTTCTCTACATTCTTCTTGCTGCTGTTTGTACATATTTAGTCCTGGTAGGCTCAAGGTTCATTCTCCTCTTTGAGAAACTGCTAATGGCTGCTTTTCATTTATTTCTTCATTTGGTTTTGTCAACATTTGGGACTGAAAAACTTATCTTTTGTGAACACAGCAACTCAAGGTGATGGAACAAACCCTGTGAATGCCTCACAAGAACTAGTTATACAAGTACAGTCACTGTTAAAACAATGGTTCTTGTCAGGTAGAGGCAAATTTGCATCATTATTAAGAGGTTTGACAATAAACACCTTGACATGAGTAGTTTTAAAGAAACTATGAGACACCCAAGGTGTATGTACACAAATTAAAGGAGAAATAAGTGTATGCCCAAGACAGACACACAGCCAAAGAGGAACAGTGGACAAACGCTGAAATAACCACCAGAGATAAGGGAATGTGTTTTTTGTTAACCCTTGCAGCTGCTATTCTACTGGCATCATGTGATGCTTCTTACAATATAAACAGCATGACACTCTTGTTCCACTGACGGATACACTTTCCATCAGCTGATGCCTGCTAAAACACTTAAACATCTGTCACTCATTCTAATGTCTTTCATTGTCCTTCTGATTGTCTTTTTATTGTAGATTCAATACCTTTTGTAAAGTACGTTGGATTACTTTGGTGTTTCAAAGGTACTGTACAAAGAAACCTGAATAAACATGCCATGCCTTGCATTTGTGGTTCAAAGCATTTAAACACTAGTCACACTGCATATAAAAACCCAACCTCCTAATTTATTTCAATGATACTTTGGCAAAAAAGCCCATATTCCTGATAATTACTTTGTACTGTGAATTGAGTAATTCTACTGTGATTGTTGTAAAATCCCTTCTCTTATTATAAACCATTGTGCAGTCTTTTGGCATCTGATAAACTGAAACTCATGGATCTATTACTCAAACTGGACTTCCTGAATTGTATTTTATCTTCTTACCTATATCTGAAACAAAACGCATCTTCTAGCAATTTATGATGTAGTGCTGTTTTCTGTCTGTACAATCGGCAACAGAGCAGCACAGCCGGTCACAAACTTAGTTTTTTTTCCATTTTAGACAGTGTCAGGGTTGGCATGTGTTTTTTTTGTTGTTGTTGTTATTTTTGCTCTTGTCTATTGTATATTAGTCTCATGATAAAGCAAAGCTTCAATGCAGATAATTTGAATGAATTATGTTTACTCTCGCGGGGGGGCCTTGGGCGAAAGGTTGGTTACACCCTGGACAAGTCGCCAGTCCGTCACAGACTCTGTAAAATACCAAAAGTTATTATTTCAGCAATAGTTATTAACACATGTAACTGGTGTGTAGGCTAACTATAGATGACCCACTACTTCAAAGTGAAGTGTTTTACACTATTATGATTTGTGTTCAAATTATTTTGTCTGCCCCCATTACGTGGACTAACTATATGACGTTATGATGTTGATAATACTTCAAATGATCTTTGATGATGGCTAATTCTCTGTACATGATACCTGTAGGTGTGTGTATTTGTTAGAAGCATCCTTGTTGTGTTTCAGTTTCTCCCAAGAGGGGTTTTAATCCCACCTGTAACAGAACTTCAAGTTGTTTAGAGCATGTCATACACACACACATTACAGGAACACTTCTGTAACATGCACATGCCCCAAGCCCCAGTATGTTATCTCTCCTGTCTGAACTTGATCAGGTTCCCTGTAGGCCTCAGGTAGAGGAAGAGAGAGGTTCCCCCTCTTTTATCAACCCTTTTCCTCAGCTACCAACAACACCTGGCACTCCACCTGTTTCACCCTCTACCTGTCTATCTGTCTCTCTGTCTGTCCCCTGTAACCCCACCTACACCTGCTCCCCTGGTTCAGCAGAGTGAATGTTGTGTTTTG